CCGTTGGATTCAGTGTGGTCTTTCATCGACTGCACCATTCGAGGAATATGTCGGCCATCCAGATATCAAAGACAGGCTTACAACGGGTACAAAAAGATACATGCCGAAAAATATCAGGCACTCAAATTACCGAACGGGCTCATCGGACATTTATTTGGTCCGATAGAGGGCCGCCGCAATGATAATGCTCTTCTCGCCGACTCGCAACTCCTCGAAAAATGTGCTCAGTTCGCTTTGAAGCCTGGCGCTGACCACAACACTCCCATCGACCAACGATACTCTCCAGATTTTCGGGGATCCAGCATACGGTCTCACCCCGCTCCTGATGAGCCCGTTTGCGACGGCTGATCGCACGCCGGACCAACGGAGATGGAACAAAGCCATGTCGAGGGTACGGATGTCGGTTGAACATGGCTTTGGCGAACTCACCCGGGAATGGCCATTTCTCAATGCTTGGTGGAAGCATCGTGTCTACGCTTCCCCTGTTGGCAGATACTATCGGTTTGTGTGCTTCTCACGAACGCACTTAATTGCATATCGCCCAACCAGACGTCGCAGGCATTTGAGTGTTTACCTCCTACTGTAGACGAGGTACTTTCACGATTGAATTTACAAATATATATCAAATATTGATTTACTTGGTTGTGTCGTACATGAACAAGCTATTTATTTAATGAAGAGCGCTACCTTACTGCTTCTCGCGTTCGAGAAACGCCGGAGGATCTCGTTGGTCTCAGCTTTTTGTTTAGTGGAAGTCTCGAGGTAAGTATCAAACATTTTGAGGACACGGGTGTCGTGTTTTTCACGCCGCTCATTCTCCGTGCGCATGAGACGACGAGTCTTCTCAGCTTCACTGCAGCGGCGTTTGCTCGGACGAGCATTGGATTCGTCGTCCGAGTCGAGGATTTCAATCGTAGAGGAGCCGGAAAGGGAACGAGCCGGGACTGTGGATGTTTCGTCGTCGGTGCTGTCATCGTCGGGGTCGGCGGTGGAGGTACGAGGACGAGAGCGAAGGGTCTTCATGGAATTATTACGAATGGACTCGCCACCCTTGCGATCCTCGTCATTTTTCTATTGAGATCTGTTGAGAACAAGATAGCGAAAGAAAAGCAGGCGGCACACCTTTTTAAATCTTAGCCTTCGCACTGTCGGACTTGTTCTTTGCCTGGTCATACTGCGTCTCGAGACGCTCGAGCAATGCAGCAATGACAATGCTTGCCGACGTATCCCTCGCCGATGACATTGGCAATTTGGGGATTTTTGGCGGGTTCCTTTGAATACAAGTCATTACTGACAGAGCCGAGAGTAATAAGCATATAACACACCTTTTTAAACGCCACCAAGGCGTCTGCTTTGTCGTGTATCGACCCGGCAGAGATATCCTTGTGCGGGAAATCTTGCTCCAAAAGAGTCGAGACAACCAACGCCCAGGTCTTGCCTTTCTCGTTGTGCCGGGCGAGATAAGGCTGAAGGTCGACCACAACACGAGTGATGTGGATGAGATCGCTCGCGTCGAATCGCACCCTCTTTCCGCCCTTCTTTCCCTTTCCACACTCCTCTGCATCACTGCCGCCATCCCCATCTCTAACCTGATTCTCCTTCTCTCGCTCCTCGCGACCTCGCTTCTTCCCACCTGCCCCGCTCCTCCCTATGGCCCGACGAACCTCGTCGGTGACCGGAATACGTGCCCGGGCCTGGGCAGACGGCATTGGCCCACGGGGCATATTGAGCGCCGACTGCGCGACAGGCCGCAAGTGAACGCGGCTGCTCGGTCCCACGTTTGTTTCAGGAGGGCGAGGCGAGCCTTCGCTGTTGTTATATGCTTCCTCAAACCGGGTGTTGAGAAGCTCAAACTGAGCGGCGTGGGGCAGTAGGGTTGGAACGGGCTCTCGGGGAAGTCGTCCAAGAGGTCCCAGGTGGCCGGGGATGCAGGAGTATTATAGCAGGGTCCGGTGCGAGGAAATGAGAACTGGAAGGTCGACAAGTCGGTAGATGCCGCCGGTGGATGATGCTGGAGTCGCGAACTCGTTTGCGCAACCATTTCCGGCAGATCGCGCGCCGTTGGCAGGGGTAAAGTCGAAAGAAGATATAGGGGAGGTGAGGGAACGCTCCCAGTTGTATTCTGCGCGTGAAGACATCGTTGAGGTGTGTTTAGAGTGCTTGATAGAATAGTTTGAGACGCGAAACACGCACCTTATATCTTGGTTGGTTGTGGAGCCGCTTAGCAGCATGACGCAGCCCGCTCCCTGCGCTCCTCCTCTACGTCCAGAGTTGTACCAGCCCCGCCAGTGAAAGTGGCCGCCTACGTTGAGCGGGGTCTTGCTGCGACGCGTCTGTTGGGTGTGAGAGAGAACTCGAAGAAGTCTGAAGCCGTCATCAATCCTATGTTGGCAAGTTCGGCCGGCGAGCTGTCATCGCTCCGGTCTTTCCTTTCTCGGAAGCCAAAAAACGGTTCTAATTCTCAGCTCCACAACCGAAATTTGCTTAGGCGTTAACTGAAAAGTAAAATCGTTTTTCACCGTTTGCCAAAGTGCTCTAATGCCTGCCTCGTTTCGTGTCTTCTCTGTAAGTGCCAGAATCCCAACTGTTTCATCACCGGGGATATACAGATCACCATTAGTCCAGCCTCGGGAGTATGGGGGCTTTAGGTATGAATTTTTTAGCATTCTCAAGAGAGATCTCTAGCCTGTTCATGATCTCAACATTGTAATGACCTTGATATGTTTTCCCACTGCGATTTAAAGTTCCGACGGACAAGATTGTGAATAAAAACATAGTCCTTGATCCTAGCAGCAGCATGGCGGATTGATGTTCCAGATTTTGGCATTCGATCTCGGAGATTTTTATGGATAGCACCTTCTGGATTGTTTGTACGCGGACACAACGGTATATAGGATGCTTGGTCTTGCCCTCAATATACATCTGGTAATAGAGCTGTAACACCTGGAGGGATAAACAATCCTAACTTGATAGCCTTAAGAACATTTTTTGAATCATGCCAAGCTTGTGGATTAAACAGTGGGCTATTGTCTTAGAATCCCGCTGTGGACCATACAGCCTGAAACCTCATTAACCGCATCATATAGTTTATCTGGAGGTGGTACAGTTTGCCGGCAACGATGCCAAAGCCAGCGAGCGTTAAATCGGATTTGACGGTCCCAAGACAATTTTTTTTTGGTTTTTCAGATAAGTGTCGATCCGAGCTTTGTCAGGAATGAAGATAGCGTCTCGCAGTGCAGTTCCAAATAAACGCCGCAATCCATGCTCTTTGGAAACTTTTATCCGAGCCATAGCATGCCATACATCCATGATTACACGGCTCCGGACCTCTAAAGGACAGTTGGAAAATTCTGGGTCTTCCAGACGTGCAAGTGCAGTATCCAAGGCCACCTGATCTGAATCATTGAGGTTGTCAGAATCACATCCAGGTGGAGCACTGTCTATCTCATTCATCCATGAATTAGCAGCATCCGGGATTGGCCTGAGAGAGAGGATTTGTAAGCAAGCCATTGATATATTGGGCATGAACTTCAAAACGAAGCTCTCTTAGCATAGCAGTATTGTACATTGCCATTGTTTTATTCGCACGAGGTCGACCGTTCGATTCTCGCAAGCAACCAGTAATTACAGTGGCCGCCATTAAAACTGCACCAAGCGGTTCTGGGGCATCAGTGTGTCTTTTGACGCAAACAAAGTTCTGGACATGGAATACGGGTGAAATGACTTTTTTAGGCAACTTACCCCATGACCATATATAGTAATTCGAGTGTAATGAATTTTTTAAGGGATTTATTAACAGGGCACTTTTCAGTGCTACACCCCACCGAAAAACGGTTTTCATAGGTCGAAAGTACTCGCAAATACGACCTCAGTCATATGTTACTTTACCTAGATTCCTACAATTCTGGACCCGCAATGGCTGCTTAAAGATGGTCATTTTGGTCATTTTTTGAATAAATCTGGCATTTTTAGGCCAAAATGGCCATCTTACAGCAACTATTACGGGTTCAAATCGGCAGCAAACTAGGTAAAGTCAGATATGACTGAGATCGTCTTTAGGAGTACTTTCATCCTATGATGCTTATTTTCCTGTAGGGTTCCCCGCTGAAAAGTGCGGTGTAAAAAAAACACATGAAAAATTCACTGTGGCTCGATTACCATATATGGTAATTGGGTCGTTCGCTCAAAAATTTTCATTTCACTCAGATTTCATGTCCTGCACTTTGTTTGAGCCTAGAGACCACGTCAATGACTCGGAACGCCTTGTTGCATTGTTTTCTGCAGCCACTGTAATTGTTAGAGTCAGTATTGTAGTAATAGATATAGATAGTCTAGTATTACAAAGTCAAGACAAGGTGTAAGCAGTCACTTTACAAAGAAGGTAAAGTGGTAATACTTTTGCTTAACCTCGCCGAACATGCCTTGTAAGGCCTTACAAGCCTCATTAGGCCCTATAAGGTCCATTATGTGTTATAAGGCCCTATATGTAGTATTAGGTACGTATTTAAACCTTGTATGGTGCGCGTCACTTAGTCACCGCCTCTCCGTGACAACGCTAACTGTGACCCCAGTTTTTGCCCTAATTTTTATTCCTCTTGCAAAACGACTCCTTTTCAACAGAGGAACAACTTCCCAAGAGGAATTTCTAAAATTTAAATAATTGAAGGAGCTATAAATTTTCACCCCACCCAATTTGGCAGTATACACCAATTTCGATCTTGCTCCTCCAGAATTCTCAATACGAGGGATATCAAACACCACTCCTATGCCAAACCCAAATCGCACCAGTAGGTGCATCAAAAGTCCACTCAAAAAGTCCCCAAATCCAGGCTTCAATAGGGTGTTTTGAAAAAATTTCGGCCTCCGGCCGATTTGGCAGTAGTGCAAAGGAGGCGGTGACTAAGTGACGCGCACCATAACCCTCCTTTTCCCCAACGGCCTTATTAGACCTTACAAGGCCTGCCCAGGCCTAACAACCCTTTTTTGATTTTTCCGACAAATGGCTGAAGCAGGATTCGAACCTGCGACCTTTCTAACCCGAAGGTATCCAACTGAGCTATTCTGCCGATAGTGCGAACGGGACTAAACACCAGACTTCAACAGGAAGCCAGCGCAGCGCCCCTACCTTTTTGGCATACAGTGCTGTTCGCACCAGGTTCGTAAATCTGGAACTCCGTCCACGTTGTCTAATCTCATATTTCACAGGGTCAATTGATTCTCCTGGACTATTTCAAAGAAAATCCCGAGGCCGACGGAACGGCGGAGGAAACAGCTGGTGCGATTGGCTGGATCAACCGCCACGAGGCAGTGCGCGATGTGTTCGACGAGACGCAGCACCAACTCACATCTCGACAACCGGGTGAAAAGAGCGGCAAGGCTGCCTTGACCTATTTGTCCGCGAATCTCACGCGTTGGACCACTCATACTATTTCCTGGCATCGACAACTCGCGCTGAAAACATCTCTTAGGAATGCAGCTATAAACCGTCAGCAAGATATTGTTTCGGCGCAGGTTGGGGCGGAGAAAAATAAGAAGAAAGTGGCGGCAATGACAAAAGAAGCTAACAAGTATTGTGATCTCTTAGACGACCCGCAGTACTGGAAGCGACTTCAGACAATTGCGGAGGATGTCGAACCGATTACATTCATAACTAATATCGATCAGGGCGATACGACGCGCGGGGATCAAGTCATACTTGGGCTGGCCGGAGTTTATCTTCACTTTTCTCAACACGTCAATCCCCGCGTCGCCGCAGGGATGGTGAAACGGCTGGAAAAGCGATGGGCGGACTTTGATCAGCCATTTTTCGTCATTGCGTTGGTGTTGAACCCATACGAGAAGCTGTCTCGATTTGGAGATGCAGCGGGGGTGCAGATTTTCGCTCTTCACGCAGTTTTCATGGAGGTAAGTGATATCTTTCATTATAGATATAGCTGAATCGAAGTTGTGACAGCTCTATCGACGTGTACACTCTCGTCCAATCCCCGAGACACTGAGCGAAGCGGAACACGACATCATCCTCCTTCAAAAATCACAGAAAGAGACCATGGTTTCGTCTGCTTTCCTCCAGTACTTGGGCGATAATTCCCAGCACTTCAGCCCCTTCTACGACCAATGCGATGAGTTTCGGAAGCTACATGTTAATTCATTTTTTCCGCTCCGATAATTTTACTGAACTGAAATTCCCCAGGGCGATAATCCTGTACTCGTCTGGAAGCAGTTTCTTCCTGTCCCCGAGATTCGGGAGCTTGCGGACTTTGCTATCCTTATACTGGGTATTGTTGTTAATTCGGGCGGCACCGAGCGCGTCTTCTCGGACTTAAAAATCAAACGGACTCGTCTGCGAAACCGACTCTCGTTCAAAAAAACGGAGAAGATGTCAAAGGTATGTATTGCTGTTCATATTGCTCAACTATCTTTGACTCAATTAAGGTTGGCGCTTCGATCCGAGCCGAGCACCTGGCCGATGGTTTGCGAAAGCAACGGGAGCCGCGCAAGAATCACGACGTCAAGCGTGTTGCCGAGCTCATCGCAGTGCCAAAGTACGCTGATTTGCTAGAACAAACCGAAGATGTCGACGCGGATTCCGATGGCGCAGAAGCGGTCAAAGTGAGCTCTCGATTAGTCGATTCCCAGGCTGCGTGGCGAAAGGTTTATACACATTGGCTTGTGTCGGCACGGCAGGAGGAGATGGCAGCTGAGGACAGTGGAGAGGCCTATGAACCCAGTGTCCCTGCGCCAGAGGGCCGCCGCAAAACATGGCTTCCGTGCCCCCTTTCGAAGCTCTTCGGAGGTACAGTGCAGAAACCTCCCTCGCGCCGGCGTCAGGCATTTACGCAGGAGGAACGGTTGATGGAACTGTTGGCAGCGGATCATTCAGACGAAGAACCTGACGATGGCGAACTCGAGGGATCCGGAGACGAGTACAATGGCGAGAACGCGTAAAATTTGCTACTTGTCCACCCGAAAAAAAATCATTTGTTTGTTCCTAAGGCCTTAACTTGAAGGCCTTAATTAGGCCTTAATATGATATTAAGCCCTTAGCCGCCGAGGTTGCCCTTAATAAGGCCTTAAGAAGGAACACTGCTTGCAGCGCAGCGGGAGCTTGAGGCTCAACCAACGAGGAATGGGTTCTATTGTGGAACTTCTCCAGTTTGTCTTGAGGGCCCCCTTGCGACCGCAGAAGTCGAAATATATAAATTTTCAAAATCGACATGGTGGTCTTGGTACACCGCCAAAGTGCCGACATGATGCCACCACCTGGCGCGATCACCTTGATGGCGGCTGCATCGGAAGATGGGTCCAGGTGGTGTAGGGCTGGCACACAGCTGGAATTCTCAGGTGGTAGGCGGGGGTGGGTAGCACTCCTAACAGTGTACTATGTAGTATGTCATTCAGTAAATTGCATGTACGGACTGAATCAAGCTTCCCCTCCTACATATGTGCCAACCATTGTCCACATACATCATATTGTTGATCAATTCCGTCACCGAACACGTGCCGCCCACCGTGCCGTTCCGCTGCCGTGAGTTGGTGTTGAAAGTTTGCACGGATTTCCGCCTAGATTGCAGTCCCGGCCGTCCACGGAGAGGCGGTGACTAAGTGACGCGCACCATAGTATGGATTCCGCGTTTTTGATCGCCCTTGGGGAGGAGGGGAGAAAACGGGGGCCGAGGAAGTAGAGCCGATGAAAAAAGGAAAGCAAGAGCGCCTACCGCCCACGCGCCGCGCGGACAACGAGGAACGACCGAAGAAGAAGAAACAAGAAACGAAGGATGATGAACGAATGAGCGAGGACACATACCTCTCATCTCGTCACTACAACACCGCCCACACACCTGCCAGCGGCACCGCTCCGACTATAGCTACCCCTCCCATATGCATCCCACCCAATCCTACGACATTCTCAACTACCAATCTCAACCCGACCAACCGCTCCCTCAGAGAGCAATATTTCTCCCGCTCCTGCAAAACTAACAACTCCGATACCATCTGCGGCGCCTGGTCTAAACGAGCAAGCTCCATTATCGGCATTTCCGTTAGCATCTTGGGACGGCTTCCCGGATGGCCGCATTGAGTGCCACCACACGCCACAACAAATTGAAGATACTTCGCAACTCGTCGTTTATTGGGCTGCCGACAAACTTCCAGGAAAATGAGGCTCGCCGACCGCTGCCACGCCAGACAAGGGGAACATCTCGCGCTTCAATTGCGCGGGTGTTGTTGAATGTGATTCCAAACTATGCCTCTCCCAAATCGCCCCTGGCGAAAATATTCTGAGGCAGCTGCAATCCGAATGCACCTGTGGTTCAAAGCTTTTTCATCGTTCATGCAGATTTCAATGGTCTATTGCCTGATATATCGATGGTGGTTCGAGAGCAACCACATTCACACCCACTCGCGATATACTCATCTGCTTGTGACGCCAAAATTCAAGCCATCACAATTCCAGTCTTTTATTTCAAGGCAACCAGTGTCTCTTATTTCATCCCAAGCACCCGAATTGTTGAATGTGCAACGTGCCGATTCGCCTCAAAGCTCTGTTCTGCAACATGATGAAGGTGAGAAGTTCTCTCTCTCCCTCATACTATGCATCTTATACCTCATACTAGGTGCCTTATACGATCTAGGTAACCAAGTTCTTGAACAAAGCCCGGTACCGGCATCCCAGCCCCAAGCTCCCCAACACAGCGAACCTGATAGGCTTCTATTCATTGAAGACTGCCGCAGCGGCACTGCTCAAAGGGTGCAGGCAGCACTTTGATAATCAGATAACCCGTGTTGCTCGGATAAACCGCATTGTCGCTCCGGAGCGACAGGCGGAATTTCGCAAGCTCGCTAAAGAGCTACTTACAGCAATTCCTGTAAATAATGGCAATCACCAAATTTTTTCGCGCGCTTTCCCGAAAAGGAAATTTGCCTTCTGCCTCTTCCTTTCGCTTCGTTTTGCAGCTCCTGGTGCCCCTACGCCCTCCAAATAGTCCTGGAATGTCATGCTGGCCTCTCTATCTACACTTTCAATCTATTTTTTGCGGCACAATACTCTGCAATTTCCTCATTTCGATCCGACTATACCAGAGGCAATAACCAAGCGATACTCGAGAGCTGTTGGCAATCATGCGTTCACCTACACCGTTCTTCCGAGCTAAGAGCTCTTTCTGAGCTATCAATAACAACACAGCAGTACTCTGCTCAAGTTTGAAGGCTCGTATATTGCGTGATGGGTCGAATTTGCGATGCATAAGTAGTGCTGGTGACATGTACATCATCCTGGTCCCTGGATTATCGTGCGTGTGGTCACCGCTCATACTTCTTCCTCTTACTATATACACCTCTTCTAGTAGGATCCGATGCCTTGCTTTTAACTGCTTCAAACTCGTGTCCCGCTGTGCCCGCCGTTGCGTTTTGGAATGTGAACGAGTTTGCTGGCAGTCATTTGTAGCGGTCATCCGACTCCGTTCAACTTGTTTATATGGCAGCTACTTGCTCAAGCCTCAAGACTAACTCAAGCGACCGCGCGTCTGCCTGTCTTACTTGCGCCCGCGCCAAGAACATGGAAATATTCAGTGGCTACGTCGAAGCCAGTACCTCGCGTGGGCGAGTCTCACCGCGTAACCGCTTCATTTCCCTAACACCCCGTTACGCCTCCATAGATGCTCGTCGACGCCATCCCAATCACTTGTACAATCCACTTAGTATGAACCACACCTGTGATTTGCTTGTTATACCAAATCTACGTAGTTTACTATGAAATTGATCCAAAATATATGTCCAATGTGCTGAACTACCGACCCCAGAGCCATTTTCTGTGTCGAAAGCACCTGGGGGACCTCACCGAGGTCCAAGAAACGCGAGAAGGAATGAGATGAGGCCAAATTTCCTTTTCGGGAAACGCGCAAGAAAAATCTGGTGTTTGCCATTATTTTCAGGAATTGCTGTAAGCAGAAAAGGAGAAGAATTTGAAAGAATGTGCCGCACATTTATGTCGTGAATTTCCGCCGCTGGTTCAACAATTCGTGCTGGCTCGACTCCTCCCTCACTGCACTCTTCGCTGCATCCAGCCGTG